ACCAGGAATAGACCATCAGAAAATGCAACCACATGGGATTTGCCTCCTCAGTTGCACATTCTGATCAATCGTGCAGTTGGAATCCAGCAGCACCACTATTTTACTGATATAAAACCCGTCAATCTCCAGTAATGAGGTTCCATTCACAGCCTATCTAATCAAGCTGTTTATATCCTCCTGTAGTGTAAGGTTATCCTCCTCATTATTTACTCCTACCAATGTTCATTGCCATCTGTGAATTTACTGATCAACCCTCCTGCATTCAAGTTAAATCATTTATATATACCACAAACAGCAAGGGCACAACACTGATCCCTATGGAACACCACTGGACACAGGCCTCCAGTCACAAAATCATCCCTCAACCATCACCCTCTCCTTTCTGCCACTCAGCCAATTCTGGATCCAACTAGTCAAATTTCCTGGGATCCCATGGGTTCTTACCTTGCTATCAGTCTCATGCAGGACCTTATCAAAAGCCTTGCTGCAGCCCAAGTGGACTATGTTGAATGCATTGTCCTCACGTACATACTTGGTCACCTCTTTGAAAAGTTCACTCATTGGTCAGGCATGACATTTCCTTAACAAAACCATGCTGACTGCCATTGATTAATCCCTGTCTTTCCAAGTGCAGATTAATTCTGTCACTCAGAATTGCTTCCAATATTTTCCCCTCCATTGAAGTTATACTGACTGGCCTGTAGTTTCCTGGTTTATCCCTTGCTCTCTTCTTGAATAACAGAACCACATTGGCTGTTCTCCAATTCCCTGTGGGCAGAGAGAAATTAAAAATTCCCTGCATTCTCTGCTATTTCCTGCCTTGCTTCATACACCAACCTGGCATTTATTTCATCTGGTCCTGGAGACGTATCTACTTAAAAGGCTGCCAGACCACTCAGACCCTCTTCTGCATATGTGCTAATTTCTTGAACTATATCAACGTCATTCTTCTGCTTTCTATACACATATCGTCCCTCTTACTCGTGAAAACTGATACAAAGTATTCATTTAGAACCCTACCTAGATCCTCCTGCTCAATGCACAAATTATCACTGCGGTCCTTAATGAGCCTCACCCTTTCCCTAGCTATCCTTTTGCATGGAATATACTGGTGAAATAAGTTAGGATTTTTCTTTATTTTACCTGTCATTATACTTTCATGCCCCTTTTTGCTCTCCTAGTTTCCTTTCTAAATTTGCCCTTGCACATTCTGTAGTTCTCATGGGCTTCAGCTGTTTCGTTCCCCTGGTATCTGCCCGAAGCCTCTATTTTTCTCTTCATCCAATCCTGTATATCTCGTAATACCCACAGTTCACTGGATTTGTTGGTTCCATCCTTTATCTGGCCCTGTACTTGCCCTATTTCCTTCGAATGCATTCCATTGTTCTGACACAGATTTACCTTAAAGTTTCTGCTCTCAGTCCACTCTGGCCAGATCATACCTGATCTTACTACAATCAGTCTCGCCCAATTTAGAATTTTGATTTCAGGCCCATCCTTGTCCTTTTCCAAAACCATGTTGAATCTAATGGAATCACTGCCTGCAAACTGCTTCCCCACTGATACTGAAACCACTTGCCTGGCTTCATTACCTAAAATTAAGTCCAGGACCACCCCGTCCCTTGTAGGACCTTCTAATGTACTGGCTTAAAAAGCTGTACTGGATGCATTTTAAGATTTCCCATCACAAAGACAGAAATTGCTAGTGAAACACAGCATCTCTGACAGCATCTGTGGGAAAAAAAACAGAGTTAATGTTTTTAGTCTGGTGACTCTTCATCAAAACTGATTTCTGCTCCATCTGAACCTTTCACATTATGACTACCCCGTGAATGTTGGGGAAGTTTAAATTCCCTACTATCACTACCTTTTTACTTATGTACTTCCCTGAAATTTGCCTACAAATCTGCTCTTCTATTTCTCTAGAACTGTTAGGGGGCCTATAGTACACTCCCAGCAACGTGATTGCTCCTCTTTTGTTTTATGTTCTACGCATATGGCTTAATTTGAGGAGCCTTCTAAGATGTCACCCTTCCTTGCTGCTATAATTGATCCCCTGATCAATACTGTGACAACCCCTCCTTATATGTCCTTCCTTGTCTTACCTGACGACCCTGTATCCTGGAATGCGGAGCTACCTGTCCTGCCCCTCTCTCAAACATGTCTCAGTAACATCAATGATATCATACCAGAGATAGTAGGAACTGCAGATGCTGGACAATCTGAGATAACAAGGTGTAGAGCTGGACGAACACAGCAGGCCAAGCAGCATCAGAGGAGCAGGAAAGCTGACGTTTCGGGCCTAGACCCTTCTTCAGAAAATTCAGTTAAACTCCATCCCTCGAGCAATGGCAGACAAAATTCCATTTGCCTTTTTAATTACCTGCTGCACCTGCAACCCTACTTTTGGCGATTCATGCACAAGGACACCCAAGTCCCTCTGCACAGCAGCGTGCTGCAATTTTTTACCATTTAAAACATAGTCCATTTTGCTGTTATTCCTACCAAAATGGATAACCTCACTTATCAACATTGTACTCCATCTGCCAGACCTTTGCCCACTCACTTAGACTATCTATATCCCTCTGCAGACTTTCAGTGTCTTCTGCACACTTTGCTCTACCACTCACCTTAGTGTCATCTGCAAATTTTGACACACCACACTTAGTCCCCAACTCCAAATCATCTATGTAAATTGTAAACAATTGCGGTCCCAACACTGATCCCTGAGGCACACCACTAGCCACTGACCGCCAACCAGAAAAACACCCATTTACCCCTACTCTTTGCTTTCTATTGGTCAACCAATCCTCTATCCATGCCAAAACATTACCTGTAATACCGTGCAACTTTATCTTATATAGCAGCCTTTAGTGTGGCAGCTTGTCAAATGCCTTCTGGAAATCCAGATACACCACATCCACAGGTTCCCCATTGTCCACCATGCAAGTAATGTCCTCAAAGAATTCCACCAAATTAGTTAAACATGACCTACCCTTCATGAACCCATGCTGGGTGTTTCTAATGGGACAATTTATATCCAGATGTCTTGCTATTTCTTCCTTAATGATAGATTCAAGCATTTTCCCCACTACCGAAGCTCAGCTAACTGGCCTATAGTCATCTCCACCATCAGTATCTAACATGATATATCTGTTAGATAGGGGATGGCCACATGGTACTCCTGCACTACTTGCCTTAGATCAAGTAACGATAAAACATGCTAAGGGCTGAAAAGTGGACTCAAACACAGTTCATAAACTGCATGGAAAACATACTCTGTCCCTTTGTAAACCAGTCTAAAGTATGTAACGTAAAATAATGAACTTCTGACTTCTGGAAGTCAAAAACAAAAATAGAAATTGCTGGAGAAACTTAGCAGATCTGGGCGGCATGGTGGGCAGGTTAGGTTGATTGACCATGCTAAATTGCCCTGCAGAATTCAGGGATGTGCAGGTTAAATGGAATGGCCACTGTTCAGAAGGTTGGTGCAGACTCAATGGGCTCTTTCTGCACTGCAGTGATTCTATGATTCTATCTATGGCAGCATGATAGCTCAGTGATTAGCACTGCTGCCTCACAGTGCCAGGGACCTGGGTTCAATTCCAGCCATGGGCAACTGTCTGTGTGGAGTTTGCACGCACTCCCCATGTCTGTATGAGTTTTCTCCAGGTGCTCTGATTCCTCCCATGGTCCGAAGATGTGCAGGCTAGGGGCTTAGCCATGGGAAATGCAGGGTTACAGGGAGAGGGTAGTGGGGTGGGTCTGGGTGGGCTGCTCTTTGACGGGGTGGTGGGGTCTCAATGGGCCAAATGGCATGTTTCCACACTGTATGGATTCTATGATTTGGTCGTATTTGTGAGGAGAAAGCAGAGTTAACATTTCAAGTCTAATAACCTTTCTTCAGAATTGACAGACAGATCATGGAACATATTGGTACCAACTTCAGAACCAGTTCTGAAGAAAGATCACTGGACTTGAAATGTTAACTCTGCTTTCTCTTCACAGATACTATCAGACTTGCTGATAAAGTGCAATTTCTGTTTTTGTCAAGGTATATGGGGCAACAGTTAGGTTGGACCTCAGTCAAAGGCTAGAATGTGAGTAATAGTCACTCAGATGGATTTTAAACTTGAGAAGCTGCATCCAGCATGGAGCTTGCTGCTTTTGGGTAGGGAGAACTTGGTGAATAATATAACTCATATGAGGATAACTATGGGTATTATTTGGAATACAGAGTTAAAGCATGAGCAATAAGTTGAATCCAAAGCTTATTAAGTTAAAAAAAAAGCCAGCTCTGTCCTTTTAAAGGTCATGACGGATATAAATCTAAGAAAATCCCAAAAGGACAAATGTGTTGAATTAATTTCCATGTCAGCTTTCACAGATGGAGACCTTGGACAACTGGTAGATTGAATTATTTCAGGTGTTCATAATATATGTAGAAGTTGGTAAACATTGCAATGAATAAACTTGAAGAAATCATTCTTTGCAGGACAGGAACAGACATGACACAGCCTGCAATTCTGAAAAAAATGAGTGAGGAAATAGGCGAGGCCCTGATTATTATTTGCAGCCATTCCATGATTATAAAATGCCATCTTCAAAAGGTTGGAATGCCTTGGAAACTGTTTAGAGAAACTCAACAAGAAAAGACACAAAGACTTTGACTTAGGAAAAACAAAGCTTACAGCGTTAAGTTTATTTTAGTTGGAACAAAGACAGGTCAGGTGATGACAAGATTTTGGTCTTTTAAAACAGAAAATATAGCTTCAATATCAACCATTGAAATTTGAAAATCGTTGTGAAACCTGAGTGATGAAATGGCCTCAAGTCAGATGATGGTTTTTAGTTCCTGTGAGTAATCGACAGCAATAATAAAATTAATTATCTGTCAATTAATTCCTTTAAAAGAAATGTTGCATAAACATGTAGTTATGACAGAATCAGAGGCTGGAAGGATAAACACAAACAGATTGAGAGTCAAGTACCCTGTGGAACATAAAGGCTCGTTTACTGTTAGGACCTTAGAAACATTTGCGGAATGCAACTAGTTGGAGTTGAATAGACTGTCTATTCTGGTGCCAGATCAATATCCTGGACTGTTGGAAGATTACTTTGGAGGAGGGGACGGGTAGGTGGAATCATCAGGACAAATCTGAGCTTTAATTTCTGGAGAGTTTCTTTTGTATATATATTTACCTCTCCGGGGAGATTAAATAAATGAGTTAGATTATGCTGCAAGGCAAATTATGTGTGGTCTGGAAAAGCAATGAGTTAAATGCTCTTTTCTGGCAGTTCATGATGTTACCTGAACTGCAAGATCAGATGGCAGTTTTGTAAACCCCATGCATATGCTTGTTATTTTACATATAATTGTTTAATTGGTGACAGCTCTTGTGAGTTTGGGACTCTCTCCAGAATCTGTTTTGCAGCTTATTAGTCAGCCTTGAAACAGCCACAGCTATCCAAATAATAAAAGCTCAGCTGGTCCTGACAGAACTGTAAGTAACAGACTTTCTGGTTTAATGCTTTTGGTGTAAGCTGCTTGAGATGCTATACTCAATGAGTTGGAACTACTTTCATTGATCTGTATGAGCTGGCTTTAGAGTCTAAATTGGCCCAACTTGGAAAGCATTCAATACAATGCAACCTTTTCAAATTTTCGAAAGTATTGTTTCACATATGAGCCTTGCGAGGACTTCAATGAAAAATCACTGTGTAGAACTTTTTGAGATCCTATCATTGCTCTTTGCTGTTTTCTTTAATAAAGAGACATTGTTTTCATAAAGTGTTTGGCAAATGTATGGGAAGGAGAGGTGCCAGAAGAGCTCAGCATCATTTTTATGATTGCAGGCCATGCAACAATATATTTTTGCAATTTAAGCCGACAAAGTGCATACTAGTAAGCCAACTGAAAAAGTGGTACAATTTGTTTTTCAAAAAGTAACTATTCAATTTAAATATGGTGGTTGCACTAAAATGTCAACAGTTGTTCCGGAAAAAACAACTAGAAGGCAAATTGACATGAAATAAAAAGCCACAATTGTGTAGATGCTGGCAATAATCAAATGTTGACAATATCTGAATGAAACAAAGTTAATATTTCAGAGTTATGACTTATTAATGAGAGCTGATGAAAGGTACAGACATGAAACGTTGGCATGAAACTGCTTGGTAACAGAGTTGGAGAATTAAGTAGCCCTGTGAATTAAAGTGAACACTACGGTGCTGATACACTACATTTTACAGTCCCCCAGGTATGTAGTGAAAAACCTGATCAATACATTGGACATTGTATTGAAGGATGACATGCCTTCATGCATGTGCATGTTTTAGTCATACAGGATTCCATTATTTCAAGAAATGTGCTTAGTACTGTTGCCAATAAAAAGTGACTAGTTAACGTGTGCTTTTATCACCTTTTTGTGTTGAGATTGTTGTATTTAAGTAGAACATTGACCAGCTGCAGCCTCCACAGCTATGGAATTCTGTGTGAAATAAGTAATAGTGGAAGTATTCACCTTCATAAAATGAAAGTGCATACTTGTGGCTAACACCCAGCTATATTCCTGATTTCAAGCAGATAATTGGTATTGAAAATAGTATGCAGAGTATTTTCCTCAGATGAATTGACTATTGCAGAACTATCTTTTAAGTGCTTTAAATATATGAAAATTATCCTCTCACAGTCAGGATTTCCTCAGATTATGTTAACTATAATTTTGTTTTATCGACTCATGAGATATGGGCGTGACTGGCTGGCCAGCATTTATTGCCTGGATCTAGTTGGCCTTGAGAAGGTGGTTGTGAGCTGCCTTCTTGAACAACTGCAGCCCATATGCTGTCTGTTGTCCCACAATGCCCTTAGGGAAGGAATTCCAGGATTTTGACCCAGCCACCGTGAAGGAATAGTGATATATTTCGAAGTCAGGACAGTAAGTGACTTAGAGGAGAGCTTGCAGTTAATGATGTACCCAAATATCTACTGTCCTTTTCCTTCTAGATGGAAGGGGTTGTGTTTTTTTAAGGTACTGTCTAAGGGTCTTTGGCAAATTTGTAGATAGTAGTGGCAGCGGAGAGTACTAAGCGCAGTGGTGGAGGGAGTGGATGCTTATGGATGTGGTGTCAATGAAGTTGGCTACTTTGTCATGTATGGTACGAGCTTCTTGAGTGTGTTTGGAGTTGCACTCATCCAGGCAAGTGGGGAGTGTTCCATCACACTCCTGACTTTTGTGCCTTATAAATGGTGGTCAGGCTTTAGGAAGTTGGAGCAGACATGCATGTAGCCATTGTATGTATATGGCGAGTCCAGTTTAGTTTCTGGTCAATGGCAACCCCAAAGCACCACACCACCCCAACCCTGGATCTTGATAGTGAGGATTCAGTGATGGTAATGTCATTGAGTGTCAGGGGATGGTGGTTAAATTATTTGTAATTGGAGATGGTCATTGCCTGGCATTTGTGTGATGTGAATATTACTTGCCACTTGTCAACCCAAGCCTGGATATTGTTCAGATCTTGTTGCATTTGAACATGGACTGCTTTAGTATCTGAAGAGTCGCAAATGGTGCTGAACATTGTGCAATCATCGATGAACATCCCCACTTCTGACATTATGAAGGAAGGAAGGTCACTGATGAAGCAGCTGAATATTGTTGGGACTAGGACACTACCCTGACGAACACATGCAGAGATGTCCTGGAGCTGAGATGACTGACATCCAACAACCAAGACCATATTCCTGTGTGCCAAGTACGACTCCCAAAAAATCTTGGTCATGTGGTTTTAGTGCCCCTCCTGAATGTTTGGATTCAAGACAGACTTGTTGAAGAGAAGGCATTCAAGCATAGTCTCTAACCTCCTGGCTTCTCTGTTGCATGTTCGCTATATATGCTGGTGCAGGAAGGCTGGGCTGAATGGTCTCCTCCTGCACCATAATGATGCTCTGATACACCTATACATGATAATCTGAGATATGCCAGGTTCTCAATTTATTCTTACAAAGTTAACAGACTGTTAGCTGCATGTGCTTCGCTCTTCAATGTATTCTTCTGGCTAACTCTACCCACACTACTTATGCCTTGTGAAATGTAATGTTGTGTAATCATCTCAAAGTTGTTCTAGCATCTTAAAGCCCTTGTAGAACAAAGAAAATCAGTATTGTCACATTAATGGGAAAATATTGTTATGGACCAGACCAGACCTCCTCACAAATTGTTTAGAAAGGTAACCTAGACCCTAATGTTTCTAATTTTAAAGATAAATGTGAAGTTCTTGTTCCATATGTGATGTAAATTGTCAAACCACTCAACGTTAAGCAAAACACAATTTATTTAAACACTATAGTTAAAATACAAACAAAAGAAGGGAAATTTAGAATAACTTACCAGTGGAAAACTTAACCAAATAATAAATACAGTACCTATTACTAATTAACTGTTCCAATATCGTAACATCCCATAAACACACACCTTGGCAAAAAGGTAAATTCAGACACAGATTCTTACAGGCAGCTTCCCAATCCAGGAAGGAACAACATCAAGAGAGGTTTCACAGAAAGTCACAGAAAGGAATCATTTACTGAAGTTTGCAACCCTTCTGGAACCTAAACAGCTTCTAACGCTACAGCTAAAAAAACTAAAAAGCCTGATCTGGGAGAAATGGCCACTCCCTTTCCATTGTTATAACTGATTTTAAAAAAAACCTAAAGACTTCTTAAATGATTGATTTAGACTGGCTCCAGTAGACACTTTTGCACCTCTGTCTTGACAACCTCTCTCCAAACAAACCCAGGACAGACTAACCTATTTAAAGTGACAGCATCACAAAATGGATTAGCAATCTTTGACTTGTGTCATCTGATTTAATTTCCTTAGATTTTCATGGCCTGAAAGAGCTTCAAACAGTAAGGAACGTTGACTTTAAAATGGCTGCAGTGATCACCTGACCACAATTTGAGGCAGTCTTCATGAAGTCCATAAACAGGAGCCAGTCAGTATGGAAATTGACATTATCAAACAGATTGAAACCAGACCATCTGATTTGTAACATGGAATCCCTACAGTGTGGAAACAGGCTATTTGGCCAAACAAGTCCACACCACCCCTCTGAAGAGTATCCCACTCAGACCCATCCCCCTACCCTTTCCCGTGTGTAATTCACCTAACTTGCACACCCCTTGACACTATGGGCAATTTAGCTTGGCCAACCCACCTAATCTGCACATCTTTGGACTGTGGGAGGAAACTGGAACACCTGGAGGAAATCCACACAGACACGGGGAGAATGTGCAAACTCCACACAGAGATGGTCGCCCGAGGGTGGAATTGAACCCGGGTCCTTGGTGCTGTAAGGCAGTAGTGCTAACCTCTGAGCCACCATGCTGGCCCCAGTTTCATTTACATCTTTATGGAAAGTTCATGTTGGAGATATGAAAATCTGTCCTTCTTAACCAGCTTAAAAACATCAGACAAAATTGCTGGAAAAGCTCAGCTGATCTGGTGGCATCTGTGACGGAAAGAACAGTTAACATTTTGGGTCTAGTGACCCTTCCTCAGAACTGATGGTGGCTAGGTAAACATCAGTTTATATGCAGAAAATAGGGTGGTGGGTGGGGTAGGGAGTTAATGATAGGAAAGAGCCTTAAGAGAGAGAAAGACAGTTGGACAAAGGAGTTGATAACAATCAGGCTGGGAGGGTGAATAGTTGTTAATGGGGACTATTAGTGACTAACAACAGGTAGTGTAATTGCAGGCTTTGTGATAACAAGGCCTGGTGTGTGGGATAGGAGGCTGGGACATGTGAGAGTTTAGGCCCTAAAAGTATTGAAGTCAGAGCATCCGCAGTTCTTTTGGTTATTAAAAACATCAGACATTGGAATACACAAATCAGATGTGTTTCATGGAGCAATTTTTGCTTGTGTGGAGAATTGTGATGGTTTGGGACTGGAATTGAAGAAGTATCTCTCTCCCTGCTTTCTCTCAGCCTTTTGAAACACAATGTACCACTGACAACTCAAACAAGCAAGAAACATGTGATCATGAATACTCAGATCTATAATACTCACAGTTAAATTTGACATAGTGCATCCCTTATCAACCATGGTCTCAGGTTAAATCCTTAGACTGCAAG